TCTTCAGCAGTCCAACTCGCTCGGCCAGTTGCTGATACCTCGCAGGCGAGCTGCATCTTCCGTGACTTCCCGCCACTGACACAAGAAGCTGCCTTGCCAACAGCTGCGTGTTCTCAACTAGTCCATCCTCTTGTCGCGAATATGAAAAGTGCGCTGCAAGCCTTGCCAGCAGCAACATTTGTCACAGTACATCTGTCTGACCCATGCTAAGGGACAAGCGCGGCACCTACAGCGCAGGAACGCTTCTCCAACCTGCAACCAAGCTCAAATCTGCAGCTCGGCATCAGACACCTAACAGAACTTGCTACAGTGAGCAGGAAAGTCTGAGCCATTTTGAGCCCCAATTGCCACATGCTCGCCACGGCCTGGCAGGGTGAACGACCGAGAGCTCCTTCTCGTCGTCCTCGGCCAGATCTTCGGGTACTGCATCCACAACATCCTGGCACCGAGGATGTATGTGGTTGCCTTAATTAAGGCGGTGACAGCTGAGAGGCGTCAACCCCGCCTCAGCCTTAAAGGCGACCATGTTGATACTCCTAAACCGGCAGCACGGCAAGTGCTTCTGATGCTTCTGGAGCGCTCTGTTGTTGCATGCTCTGCAGTCGAAGCTCCATCTGGTGTGGGGCAGCGGAAGAAAGCGAGCACCTGCACGCGGCTACTGGGTGCTCACACGAACCCTTTGAATCTGCAGAAACATCTGGGCTGTGCACCATCGAAATGTCCGTGCCCGCTGGCATGAAAGTCATGCCATCCAAAATCATAGGCACACTCCGTGCCGTCTGCCAGTCGCGACCTCACGTCGGATAACCCCCAGATTGTGCGTAGCACGACTCGGAATGACGAGACAGTTCTTCGAAATTCATGGTGGCCGAGGCGCAGAAAGCTCTCATGCATCCATGCAGCACACTGCCATGTCGACCAAACACATTGGCTTTGCGACTTCCTCAGATCTGATGCCAAGCAATTAACCATGCCGTGTGTGCTGCTATCACCAGGAATCACACTTCTCAATGGCCATCAGCGGCAGGACATCGTCGTTGCGAACCCACCTAAGCGCACGACCACTCCGTTGCGCGATGATATGGAGGTCAGCTCACAGCTGAGAAAGACTGTGCACTGGTGCACAGCCCAAATATGACAATAAGACCGACCACGGACGTTTTGTGCTAAGTACTATCGTTCTTGATTGCTGATTGGTCTATCAGCTCCTCGCTGCCGTCGTTTTCAGCTTCGTTCACGACTGACATTTCCCATCCGGCTCCTTTCACAACAGCCAGCGAATCGACCCTTTTCAATTTTCCCTTCGGCCTTTACCAGGACTAGGTTAGTCGGGGCCCCCGCGCAGATCCGGGTTCCTGCGGCCAGGGAACTTCAATTTGCGGCGCAAAGGAGGCAATGCCAGCGGAGTTTGAAGCTGAATAGTGTATCAACAATCACCACTCCATCCCAGACCCCTGGCCCTGCACCACAAGTAGCTAACAATTCCTTCCTCACTGCTGGGGAAGAAATGACGCAGCGCACCAATGTCCTGCAGTGTGGCTCCGATTGAATCGCACAGCATGATGGATGTAGGAAGAGTACAGCAGTCTGTGAAGCTGCCTGATGAACGGCCGACAGAATTGCGTGGTTTATCACCTCAGCCGTCAGGAGAGGCGATTGAAGCAGTTGGCAATAGTTCTCGCTCACGTTGCTGGCACGCTCTGCTCTACATTTCTACATGTCGCAACGTCGCTTCTTGGATTCTAGGTTGGTCGCATTTGCAGATACTAGTCCACAACGATTGCGAAGTCGTTCGTGGACCATCTCTGCAATGGCCTCTAACTTAGGTTTCGATCTTCTCGAATATCACGAGGACAGCTCGGCTAGCCTCGTCTGAGATGTAGACGATGTCATCGTCAATTTTCAGGTAGACCTTCAGCTCGCTTCGCTGGAGTTTGGGTGACAACAGAATCTGGACAGTGCAGGTGAGTTACCGTGTTCGGATCGTCGCAGACAGAATAAATCTTAGCCAGGCGCCTGACCAAGCGTGACAACGGGTGATCGGTCGACTTTCGATGCCTGTGATGCTCTTCCTCTCCATGCCTGCCCGTTACGACGGGATAGGCGTACCAAGGAGCCTCGGAAAAATGCATAAGTAGGACGTGGTCTAATAGCATGCCAGTAACGATGCGAACTTCAGACCAATTCCCGGAACGGTGGCATCCAGCATTAAGTTTAGCAATCACGGTCGCCGTGTGTCAGAGAAATCTGTGGTGAGGACGTTCTCCTCGATCAATTGCTCGAGATACTCGAAGTCGTACCTCCGCATTGAGACAGCTTTTTCCCAGAACACAAGAAACATGTTGCAGAAACAAGAAGCGTTGGACGCCTCATTGCCGCAAACACGACAAAGTGGACTTTGTCGATGACCTTCAGCCATGGAAGTAACAGCGAACATCGCAGCAAGAGCAAGCGTGCTTGCGGCACTTCGAGCATCGCCAACCGCCTTTGGCTAAGGTTGATGCCCCCCCGTTCTTGCGAAGATTCCTTTGCAAGTACCTGCATCTTGTTTTGTCGTTGCTTCCAGCAGCTAATGCTGCTGCCATCGACTGGCACACGTATGCAGGATGCGAACTCGGTCGTGTCGTCCGAAAACAACGATGGCTTCAACACGTTGGTCTCCGAGTCCTGCGAAACTCCACGGAAGTCATGACAAAGACAACGGCAAGAACGGATTGTGAACGGGTCCTGCAGCAAGGGCCCTGCGGCTTGAATGGGTACATCGGGGCTCGCGGGGATCCATGCCTGCAGCCCGCTTGCAGGCCCACGGTCAGTAAAGATTTTCCCCCACTTCGGCCTGGAGAAGTGGACCTGGCTCTCGAGTTCGAAGGTGTCAAAGCGAAAGCCTGGCACGGCCAAAGGTCCCCCCAACGGCCCCAACGCGCATGCAATTGATTCGCACCTTCGCATCCATCACTCCGAGCATGTCCAACAAAGGCCAAGCCTTGAAGTCAGGAGAAAACGCGGGGCTGAAAAAACTGCTCGGGCCTGGGGGCCAAGCCATGATCAAGAGCTGATGAAATGCCCACAAAGTACCCCGCATCCAGGGTTTGATCACCTGCTCGCCCTCGAGAAGGAGGCCTGCTACCTTGATGCTTTATGAACGCTCACCCGGGAAGTCGCAGCAAGACCCTGGCCTCTGAGCTGAAAGACTGCTGACTGCTGTGCAGGGAGACAGCCAGAGTCCAGAAGGCGGATGCAACCTCCGCAGGCTGCGGACGTGATCTCATACTACTAGTAGCAGCTAGCAGCTTTACTTCTCACCGGGTAGCCGCCAGTGGACTGGCCTCAAAGCAAAACTGGTGCGACGAGCCGCAGCGAAGGTATGCGAGGGATCACGCCGCTGTCGTTGTGATATGATTGCTGTGTCAAGGACCAGGCCGCATCTCGTCGAGCAGAATGAAGGAATTTAGCAGCAGCACTAGCAGGCGGCACGACACCTCCACAGCATAGACAGCATACTTGAGCGGTTCTTGGTACTACCGTAGCACAGATTTCTGCAGTAGGCACTTGACTCGTTCAGCTTCCGAGATCCTCTGTCACTACACGAGACGCGAACTTGTCCAGGCCCCGGCCTTCAGCTGCACGCGGATTGCCTTCAGCAACGGCCTGCCTGAGCGGCTCTTGACTCCCGGGACCACGCTGAAGTGCAAAGACTCCCCGAAGACGGCAGCTGCCACTCTTCCAACTGCAAACAGTGCGTGCAGCAGCCCAGGCCTCAACTCGGCCAAGAGCTCGTCTTCGCCCGGGCCCAGGCTGGAACTGCCAACTTTGGCGAAGCCAAATCTCTTTGACACTTCCTTCGGCAGTCGGCAGTTCCTCGCCTGGTCTGGGTTGCCTCGCGAGGGTACAGTGCAGACGGATCCTGTACGGAAACATCGGTCGCCCAAAGAAACGTGACAGGGCGCGGGTGCAGTGCGCTGCGCGGTCCTCCTGCACCTGCCTCCGCAAGATCGTCAAAGCGCCAAAAGCTCGCCAAGCCCACAAGGAGGGCCAGGCCATCTAGGACAAAGTCGCAAGACATTGCAAGTCAAGGCAGGTGGTGGATTCCTGTGAGGAGCCTCAGAGAGTTCGGCCCCGAATTTGGTGCGGATGTGCCAGGCACGGATCGTCGCATTCACGTGCACGAGTTGCCAGACCTATTCTGGATTTTCAGTAGAACACACTTGACCAACCCCTCAGCTCAGGCTGCAACCGAAAGCACGAAGCGGCCGCTGCTGCATCCAGCGCTATCTGCCCCAAGCCAAGGAAAGCACGGCGCAATTGCTATGCAATAGACTCTGCGGTGGCCTCCAGGTTCCAGCTGGAGCTCTTCCTCTACCAGTGTTAGCACTTGAGCTTCTGTGGGCGGCCACACCAGACCTTATTCACGACATCTCTGCTTGCACCAGACCAACTGCTCGTTTCCACGGCAGTCAAGCCTGCCAATGTTGTCTTCGCTTGGCTCCAAAACGGAGCATCGCAGCCTTCTTCCGGAAACCTGCTTCATGCACAGGCAAGCTGGTTGCACAGGCAAGCTGGTTGCACAGACTCTGACTGTTGCAAGCTGCGTGCTGAGCTGCAAGCACCCCGCTTGGCCAGTCGACGGCTGCAAACACCTGTACATGGCACTGGTGCATGATATCTTGCTATTGCTACAACCCCTTCCTCACGATTCCGCTGCAGGAACCTGAAGAACCAGCGCAGCGCAAAGCTGCCGAAAAAAACGCATCAGTCGCAGGCAGCAACATTTCGTCGGAGATGGCTACTAAGACGACCAGCATAGTTATCCAAGCAACTGTTCTACTGCTCGTGTGGTTTCGATCCACGTGCCATGTAGTTGCTAGCAGAATCAAGCGCACAGCAGATCTTGCAACGATGCTGTCGTGGCTGCGGCCGGAGCCGGCGATGCAGATGCAGTGAAGCGAAGAGGTGCAAAAAAAGAGAAGCGACGCGACGAGCTCTGCGGCTCCGAGCGGCTCCTCGCGAAGGCGGCTCCGCTTCTCGTCGATGGCCCGCTGCTGCTTCTGCCGCGTGATCTGAGCGCGGCGCGCGTCATCCCCCAAACATGGCTCGCTGCCAGCTATCGGAAACCGGCGAACCTGCGGGGACGAGGTGAACGAAGTTGTGACCTTGACAGCTTGACTCGTTTCGGCATGTTTTGAAGCATAGCAACTCGTATCTCAATCCAGCAGCATGCTGCAGCAGTCGGGCACGCACTCTGGATCTCAAGATGGCAGCATTGAAGCGTCATGACATCTCGTGATAGTCAGTGCTGGCATGCTCGTTCAAGGATGTCATGGCAATGGACATCTGCAGGATATTGAGGAGAAGTGCCTTCATTCAATAGTGCAGGAGCAGACTTGGACCTGTGAGACGACAGGAAAACCGGAAACCGACGCAGGCTTACAAGCGGTTGAGCTTGGTTCAGCTCGAGCAATGCAGATGTTTGAGTCAAGCCGGGGTCCCAGCACCACGTGCGCCCCCACTTCGCGGCAGAAGAGCCAACTTGTCACATCCTCTATGAGAAAGCTGGCAGCTGTGTCGGCTTTAGTTTACCTTCGCATGCTGCACCTGGAAGTCTGCCAAGTGCATGAGCAACTTGCTGCAGTTGCCTCGAATTGGACAACGCAGGGCTCCAATCCTCGACTAAGACTGGCACTTTCCGTCCCTGTCTCATGAGACTCCAGGGTACAGTGTACAGTTTTATCAAGTTGCAATGCAGTCAGCAATCTGCTGAGGCGGGAGCGATGTCACTCCCGACACCATCCCTGCCTAAGCTCGGGACCCGCAAAGGGCAACGAAAACCCGACATGTGGTCCTTCTCGAAATGCAGGGGACGGCACCCCAAGCTTGGCCTTCACCTCAGCTCTTACGAGCGAACGTAATAATGAAACGAACATTTATCCTTGCTTCTATACACGCCTCCTGGGCCTCTGCCAGCTCAATGCCCAATCTTGCAGGATTTTTGGGCATCAAGCGAGGATTGAATGGAAGCTGAAACTATCATGCCTTGCTACTGTCGAGGAGGCTCTTCTCGCAAAGATCGCCAAAACCACTCGTGCACGATCAAAGACCGCGATTCTGCCGGGATGACACGAATTGGAAGTTCAACGAATCAAACGACAGAAGCAAGGACATGTGTTCTGTACATGCCGACTTGTTACACTGCACATCATGCCATGTAACATGTACTGCTGCACAGCACAGTCGACTTTGTGGCGTGCCCGGTAGGTAGTGTCTGCGACGTAGGTGTGGAGATGCCGTGAAGCTTTGTGGCATCATCATTGGTGAAAACCTGCTTTTAGGGGTTTGGCGTGCCGCCCATGCCAAGCTTGTGATGTATGTGTTGGAGTTACACGAACAGAGCACGGATATCTATGCGTGATCCTATAAGCGTACAAATGCATCTGAACCTTATATAAACACAAGTACTGGAAGCCTAACTGTAAGCAAATATACCATACTGTAAGACGAAAATACAAATGCACACATACATGCATATATACATACATATATATATGTATGTATGTATGTCCAATGTATTTGCAGAGAGAGAGAGAGAGAGAGAGAGAGAGAGAGAGAGAGAGTCCGGGGGACTGTGCGCGCGCACCTGTCTCTGTATTTGTGATGTATGTACGTATGTATTAATGTATGTATGTACGTATGTATGTATGGATGAATACGCGCACATACTATATATATATATATACACATACATCTACATGTGGCATAGCATATACATTTACATGAATATGCACTATACATGTACATGTGCACATACATTTACATATACCTTCGCATGTTAGCATATCTCTCAGATGCCTGTTTCTAGGTAGCTGTATGTTCGTGATTACTTATTGCCTATGCTCGTGTGGGTCAACAGGTAGGCAGGTCAAGGTGGGTAGGTCGGTACTAGGCATACCACTTATATGTAGCTACGGAAGTAAATTCGTAATTCGGTCGCTCGGTCGGTCGGTCGTCGGTCTGTGGGTTGGTCGACAGGCATGCGCAGCTAGCTAGCTCGCTGGCTAGCAAGCTCTATCATCTGCATGCGTGCGAGCATGTATACATTCGTTCCCCACGCGCTGCCCTGCCTTGACTGATTGATGTCGGAGGTGCCCATGTCGTGTTTCTGCTGCCGCCGCTGGGCACGCCACGCAAGGTCCATGGCAGCCTGTACGTCACTGCCATTCATCCACACTGTCCTGTCGCTGCGAGCATGACAAGACACTGCCGAACCTCCAAATGTCTTTGCTGAACGGGTGACAAGGAGGCATTCACCTTCCGACGATTCAGTCGAGCTGTCTGGGGACACGCCCGAGTGTCATGTTCTGGGGTCTCAGACGAAAAGGAGGTCAGCTCCATGCCGCGCGACCTGCACCGCCACGCGGCAAAGCTCCTCGCATCGCGCCAAGCACAGGTTTCTTCCCCAGCATTTGCTTCTTCGCTTGCTACCCTCAGAAAACATGTGCTGGTAACGCATAGCATCCTTGAGGTGGAAAAAGAAGCGTGGGTCAACTCTTTCCAGCCTGGCCTTGCAGGCGCAAGCACTGCCGGAACATGTGCAATGAAGCAGCATTTGTTCATCAAATGGATCGGCTCGAAAAAACTCAGGTCGATGCAATGTAGGCCTCAGACATCTCTCACTTCTCGCAGGGAAATCCGAAAGTGAAGCGGCTTGAGGGTACAACACCGACGTCGTCGATGGCATCAACGTCACCCGAAAGCTCGTCGGAGTCTTCCTGCCACCGGACGAAGCAGAACACACTGGAGGCACCGAAGTTCCTATTTGTCTGAATGGCGGTGGAGCAGCTAGTTGCCACAAGGACTTGACTCGATCCAAAGCCAGATCGGCTGAACCGCCCAAAAGGTGTCGAGACTTCATGTCCAAAATCTCGTGACAAGACACAAATGCTGCACATGTTCATCGCCGCCTCCTCGCTTGAAGAAGCTGCCGCCTCGCCTGGACGAAAACACGTGTTCTCTAGGTTTGGTAACATCCGTTTCTACAGACTAAATATCAGGCCTTTGTCCTCCCAGGGCGCCCCAGTGTCCCAGCCAGCAGCTCTTGCCAACGAAACAGCCTCACCGACATGGCTGGACGTGGATCGCAGTCCCGACAATGCGGTGACCGCTGCAACAAGACATTCAGCCCGCAAGGCGTCCAAGCCTCTGAAGCATCCCATGACAACAATGCTTCCTTCGCCCCTGGAAGCCTGCCAAGGCGTCTCCACCCAGTATCACCATAATTATGTCGAAACGGATATCAAAGCGCTAGTAGCCGCTAGTAGAGGCAGTCGTAGCAATCGCAATAGCAACAGTAGTAGCAGTAACAGTGGCAGCAGCAGTAGCATCGGACAGCATCGGTATGGGCAGCGGCACTGGCAGCAGCAGTAAAGCAGCAGCAGTAGCAGGAGCCGTAGCAACAGCAGTAGCAGTAAAAGTAGTAGTAGTCGTCGTCGTCGTTGTCGAAGCGGAAGTAACAGTAGTCGTAGTTGAAGTAGCGGTAGTGGTAGTTGTAGAAATGGCTGGGGCAGTGGCCGCGGAGTGATCATGGTGAGGGGGGTGCGAGGGTGGTAATGGTGGCAGTGGTTTACAATAACAATAACCATAACCGATGCGGGAGCAACAGCAACCAAAAGAAGAACAGCCATAAGAAACAACAAACAGCAACAATTGCAATGGAATCGATCAACAAATACAATCACGGTAGCCCCAGGAAGTTTCAATAATTCTAACCCTATAGACTATAGTCAGAATGATAATGTGGCTCTTCTTGGAGTGAAATGATCCTCTCGAATGTGTTTGTTCCCGGGGTGCCAAATCAGAAAACAGCAAGTCTAAGTAAAGGCCTGAGAGGTCTCATGCTCGGTCTGGGATTTGTGTTCCACTGTTTTTGGAAGCCTTTCTCAGGATTTAGGTTTCAGACTTGGCTTGCAGGGTGGGAACAACTGGGACGCAGACTGCTTAGTTGGGCTGCACTCAAGGATTGATCGCTTCTCGCCTGGGATGAACGACCAAGGCCCTCAGCCTGCGCTCCTCGATGCGGCCTGCACAGTTTAGATGCTCAGCTTTCCCGGGATGGACACGAAACACTGCCATTGTGTGAAAGGTCGGAAAAGCTCTCGACCTCCCCGGATTCCCGTAGAGAATCGACATGTCCCGATGTTGCTGAGCCTGGCAAAAACTCAGGAGGCGGCCCACAGCAAAATGCACCGAAGGAAGGCCTCCTTCCGACACCTCAGTCTGAATAGAAGCAAGTTCATCCCTGCCGTGGTGCACAAGTGCCAGGCGAGTCGACTGCAAAGCGGAACGGCACATCCGCATGGGGCTCAGGTTCAGCCCGACAAGATTGTAGTTAGTTGGGGCGCTCCAGGATCTCCAGGCCAGACCCTAAGCAGAGTTCCCGCTCGAGACCCCTGTGCTGGTTCCGAATTTTGGACCTTCTCTGATGGAGACTTCTTTTTGCCGAGCTGACGGTGGATGCTTGGCGTGTAGCATCAGCTGAAGCCAGACAGCAACCGAATCAGTTCCATATGTGGCAACGAGTGGCTTTCCAAGGTTCTTTCGAGATTCTCTCTTGTCTGTTGCAAGTCGCATTGTTTTCCCTTGCTCTTCAGCTACAGCAGATGCAACCTTGTGCTTGCGACGTGCAGCAGGCCAATGTTCGTTAACACAGATGGCAGGATCGCCATCTTGACCAAGCATCTACGACGCTACGAGACGCGCACGTGTGCAGAAGATGTCCGCTTGTCTCAAAATGGACTCTCGGCACAGAGCTTGACATCCATACCCGCAGCAAGTGCGGCCAGCTCTTTGGGTAGCTGCGAAAGGCCTGCAGTGCGAGATTCAGGTTGTGCAGCAATGCGCTGACGAGTGATGCCGCGAGGCCTGCTGCGCCAAAGCCAGATGACTTGCTTCCCGAAGCTTCCGTCACATCCATACTACCCATCGCAAGGATAGACCTGGACAGCTCGAGGCTTTGAGCACCGATCTCAGTCTACGTGAGGAGTCGCCGTGTTCCCCCTTCTCCGCCCAGGCTGCGAGCCTCAGGATCGCCTCTGCTTGCGCTTCTCCTTTCGCGATGACGGCGCGGATCTCTTCCTTGGCGGATGCTTCAGGATGCTTTGGAGCCGGATCCAGCGTCGGCAATGTCTGAAGTCCAAGCAAAGTCCAAGCCCTCGGCTGTTTTGGCAAGCTCAGCTGCCGTCTGGCCGGCAAGGTTTTTAATCGAGAGATCCGCCCCTGCTGCAACTATGGCTTCCACGACCTGCAGAAACCAAGAGAGTGAATGTGCTGGAGCCGAAGATTGGATAGCGGCCTTTTGATGGCCCTCACGAGCAGCAATCATGACAGCTGTGTTGCCGTGCTCGTCCACCACCTGGGTCCGCGGAGCAGTTGAGAATTGCAGCACCGCACACGGAATGCCTTTAGTACAAACCCTGTCACATTCTAAGGCTGCCGCATCCAGCTGAGGCTGGGAACAAGAAGTTTCGAGAGCACGGACGACCACATCGTGCTGCCCTCGCATACTCAGGGCTAGAGGTTCGTCAAGGATGTGACCCTCAGGCTCACACCATGACGTGCTGCAATCATTAGCGCAGTCCGCTGCCAAGAAGCACCTGTGACAGAGAGGACCCTCATATTTTGAATTAGCTGCGAGCTTTGATGCGATGGACGCTGCAAAGGTCGTTTAAGCTCTGCACATCCCTGGGGCATGGCTGCTCTCGCTTCGACTGTCTCCATGCTGTATGACCAATAGGGCTGATGATTGACTAGTGACTATTGCTCCTGGAGTCAGGTCGATAGCTGCAGTGGATAAGGCTCAGATTTCGCTTGAGCCCATGCTAGCTCATGCAAGCGAAAACTGACACAGTGGCAAATAGCACTTCGGCTCTCAACAGTACTGCATGCTGCCCGCAGCGGAGGCCTCTGTTCCGGTCCCGTGCTAACGGAAACATCTACCGGCCTGTGAGACGTTAAATGTGGAGCTGGCTCCTGTCAGGATGGGACTGCTCAGACGCACTGGATGAACGACGCATCGGGTGCCGAACAAACCGCCCAGCATCGCAGTGGAGGCAGGATAGGCAGGCAAGTGATCACAACTCGTGCTAGAGCCGGAAAGTCTTAGCCGCTATGTTAAGCGGCAACGGCGATCTTTCTCGTCCTCATGGCTTGATCCAGCATATTTCGAAATGCATCCTCCACCGGCTCGTCATCCAGATCATTTAGCAGAACAACATGCTTTTCATGCTCTGGAGGCTCGAAATCACGTGCCATACGGCTGCCCAGGGCTGTGTCGACGACGTCGTCCCTATCGCGTAGACGACGCATGCGCGAGTTCTCAGCTGCCTGAACCCAAACGAAAACCAGGTCTGGATGAGATCGACGGATAAGATCTCTGTGGCGTCGCTTAAAAGTTGCCTGTGCAATCGCAATCGGTCTGCGAACGCGGCCTTCTTTCGCAGCTAGCTCGGCTTCGGCGGCCTTGGCTTGGAAAATGGAGCGCGAGATTTCTTCTGCAAATCGATCCCGCTGCTCATCCGTGAAGCCATGCCCGTTCGCAAGAGACTCCTTCAGATCTTCCGGTAACCAGCTATCACCATCATGAAAGTCGTATCCAAAATCCTGGTGCAGGACTTCTCCACAGTGAGTCTTTCCCACACCAGGCAAGCCAAAAAAGAAGAGGTTGGGAGCGCCACCGCTTTCGGGTTCGTTCGGTGCCAACATGGAATCTGAGAGCTAAGAAAACAACACCCTCGAGATCTTCGGATAGGTAATGACACTGCAGATACTGCATGCTCACACCGCTGCAACTCAAATCAAGACTACACAGCCTCAAACTTGAGCAAGTGCAACAAAGCATCGAATCGCTGAATCGTTTGCAACCCGAGACTTTTGCGACTGGACACAGGTCCACCACGCCCTTGTTTTGGTATGTTTTGGTCGCCGGTCACAGCACGAGCACCCTTCAGGGCACGCAGAAAGGTGATCCTTTCGGATCGGACACGAAGCAGGAGGCGGAAAGCTGCAGATCGCAGAGATCGCACCAGATGATCCGCCTGGACCGTGCTCAGTTGTAAAGTCTCATCACTTGGCGGATGGGATCACGACCTTGCAACAAATGCGCCAGTGTCAGAGTCATGGCAGGGACTGCAGGACAAAAGATCCAATCTTTCAAAGGCTGCGACAAACAGGACAGCAGTTGGATCTTCTCTGGATTTCCGGCAGGCACGCTGCACAGACTCGATGCCTCATTGCCGTGAGAACAACAGCAATTCAAGGTGATGGGAGTTTCGAAGCCGCTCCTACAGCGAGATCTTGTACGTGCTGTCAAGACGATTGTTTTGAGAACGGTCTCAGTGGTCGTCAGAGCGTAGCTCAGCTGTCCATCATCTAGCCTAGACTTTGCTCCTGCCATCAGACTGACAGCACAACAATTGAAGCGATACCTAACGGTGCTGGGTGAGCCTCTGCCCGTGGTGTGCAACATTCGGTACCGTGAGAAACACCTGGGCCCCGGCGACCTCACGACAGTCACGGAATGCCGCCGGGATGCCCGCAGTCCAGAGCTGCATTTGGCCAGTTCAACATGCACACGGGACCTGCAGTAGGGACGCTGAGCAAAACAGCCAAGGAGACGCATCCGGGCTTGTTTTAACAGTGAGAAGAATTTGAACAACAACGACAACCAGCATGACCGGAAGCATCCCAAGAGGCAAGTTGGGATTCCCGCAGCAGATGCCGGCTCGGCAGTAGACGGCGCTGGGATTTCACTCGCCCTTGGAATCTGCAAGTGATTCAAGCTTAAAACTTAACATGATGTCCCCTTGCCACCGAACTTCCGACGTGTGCTCGCAAGCAGTACCTCGAAGATCCTCGAAGCCTTTGTTGAATGAGGTTGCATGGTTCGTGATTCAGACAAGAGGCGAATGGCCTCTGAGCCATGCACCCAGCGCAGGAGGGGCACTGGGCGGGTGCGGCAGGCGTTCCAGCAAAACCTCCGAGACTGGCCCAGCGCTCGGTGCATCTCGCTGCTCAGTGCCGCTAACATGGTCTGCTCGTCTCAGCTTGCACTCAGCAGCGGATCCGTTCAGTTAACGCATCTGCCTGCAGCAGCGATGGCGAATCTAAAGATAATGGCGGCTCTCTTGCCTCGCACAGGGCAAGGACGTTGTATTCTGGCTTTGGGCTCCGGAACTGCCAGCCAATAGCAAGCCTGCCTACTGCCGAAGGATCGAATCTAGCAATCAAGTGTTCGCCTCACTGACATCCCCTGGACTGGAGATCTAGGATTGCAACAAGACTCTAGACCCTGCAAGAGACATGCCTGAGGGAACCTCCATGCCGCAGACTGTTCGTTTTTCCATGCAGCACGAAAAAAGGCATGAAGAGTGCACATGTCTGCGGGAGACTGCACTTCACAAACCTCAGGCGGGTCGAGTGGTGGTAGAGGCGGATATCCAAGCAACTCGCCGCACTCGGACCTGAGTCTTGCGACCAGAAATGCGGTCCGTGCTTCATGATGCCCATGTGATGTCCAGTGGCGCAGCAATGAAGATTTCAAAGCCAGACATAAGAACGGCCGAGAGACCGGAGTTGATGTAAAAAGGGACGGCAACCACCGAAGACTGCCTTCACAATCAAGTACACAAGAAAAGACACCTGAACAGGTGTACTTGCTGGCAATTCGCACTGCGTACCAGGCGGACAAATCAAACACAGTCAGACAGTTCCTTCATGACAAGCTTCGCTCACCACGGCAGGCAGCAACCTGAGCCCTTCTTCTCCGGCACCGAGGATGATATTTCCCATGACAGGCGCCGCACAACTTCATCTACGCAGGATTTGGAGTTGGTGAACTGTGCGTAGTAGCGAAGCTCGCGCGACAAGCTATATTGACTGCATGAGACACGCTGGTGCCCAACATGCGGCAATCTACGACCGACCTCAACATAAGCGAAGCAGCCAGATGGCGACTGAGATTTCAAGCATCAGGGCAGATTACAAGGATTGTGCTTGGCATGGCACGATGGAAGTCACAAGCTCAGCTCCCACTAAAAAGGCAGCTGCGATACTTTACACTACCACATCTCCACAGCTTGAAAGGTATATAATGCCTTGCAAAATCCTGCCCTGCTTCAGCTCCTCGAGCAGCTGAAGACGAGCAGATTTGTGGCTCTGTACACGGGTGCACCACAGACTCCGTAATGAGCAAGTGAAGTTGTGAAGCAATCTAAACAAGAGAAGTTCTCATCCTGCTGATGCTGCACGGACCGATGCTTCACTTGCGGATTGAAGTCACGATTTGCAAGCGCATCATTGAATTACCAGTGCATGCCACCTACCCGTCACAGTATCACTAATCCAGGAAGGAGCTCACCACCTGAGCAAGAGCAGCCTGACAGAACGGCTTCCAAGGGAGGGTGCGCATGGCCTGAAGTAGTCATCATGGCCACCGAAAAGCGAGTCCCCCCAGCGTCCAGCCGAGCCAAGTCCTTTGGCTGCAAGCCGCCACTAATGCTGAGAACTGAGAAAGTGCTGAGGCAAACACCAAGACCGGGATAGACGTCGCCGCGCCCTGACCCTGCCAAGGCTGAACATTGCTCCCGTGCAGGATCAGCGCATCTGTGGCCCGAGCTGCTACCCAAGCTGTAGCCCAGCCTGCGCAAAACTCTCAGACTTTCAGGGTCTATCCCCCCCCGACTCCCCCCATTGAATGCACTCACACTGCCATGGCCCTTGTGGCAGAGCTCGTCGAGGACGTTTGGGAAGAACTACTTGCAGGATGCCGTCCGTGTACCTCGCAGCATGGAGCGCATCAAATGTGAGGGGTTGACATATGATTTTACACAGAAACGCAAGGCGAACGATGCATCGATGCTCTCCACGTCGACCTTGAAAAAACCAGCAGTCTTCCTCTACTTTGCCATCACATCCATCAAGAATTCTACCTAGGACGCGCTCGGCTTGGCCGAGAAAAGCACGTCGTCAGGGAGCCGGAAGGCTTCAGCGAAACGACCATACTGCGCCTGATCGACTGATCATGGAAGTGAGCAACACAGCGCAGCACGCAATCGCCTGACCCAGCTCAATGTATGCATCTGCAGCCACCTGATGGCGCGGGCAGGAATCGTCAAGAGCCCGGCCATGGCAGGAACAGACGATCGCACATGGCTTCTGCGTGCTGTGACAAAAGCCGTTGGCTCAAAGCTTCATCCTGACCTTTTGCTTGGTCTTAAGAGACCGTTTCTACTCGTTAGAGAGAGCTGACAACGCTGGAACAACTTCGATACTAGTCCCGAAAAACACTGACCATAGGGGCGCTCACGTCAGGAAGGCACTTTGCCAGAATCTCGAACTTCTCCGGCGACCGTTCGGCCTAGGCAACTATGAACAAGACGTGCAGGCAACTCTCATCGAGGAATGCACGTGAGCAGCACGATTTTCTCGCGAATTTATGCATGACATGTGGTGGGCTGTTGCGAAAAGTTGCATTCATGCACATCCTTACAGCATGAATGCTTGTATAAAACCGCCTGCTCTCAGGCCACGACAGTTTCGCGAATCTTCTTTGCGATCCTGCACGAAGACTTGCTTGAAGCACCACATCGCCGGCGTGACCGTTCGTTTGGTGCTAGTACATGTGGGGACAGTCCACTCTGTGAAGAAGCACCGATCGTTGATCCGTGCATTTTAAGTTTGAATGTGTGTGTGTG